CACATCTCAGTTTGCAGAAAGACTTCTTCAACATTTCCTGCTTCCAATGCATTGAGCTCATCACATAGCAGAGTAAATGACAGAAACAAGGGTGTGGATCTGAGACCTGTGATTATTAGCTGAGAGTGCCGGTACAAAGCAGCAAATTTCTGGGGCTCGAAACCCAGAGAAGGCAGGAACTGAGGATGAGGAGGTCATGTCTGTGGTGCAGCTGAAGCAACAGGTGTAATAATTGGTAGAGAACTGACTGGAAACCAATTCTCTCTATTTACTTGTCATCACTACAGCTATGAAACCCAGAGGGCTTATGAAGATTGAGCTTTCCACTAATACATGCGCAGTGGAACAGGTTCAAAAGGTTTAGATGCCGCAGATGAAACAAGCTGGGGCCAGCAAAGTCCCCTTTTAGTTTGTTTTTACCCAAAGCAACACCAAGAAACGAAGATACTTCAGGAGAAGATGATTCTGTCGGTAGATCACTTTATGGTTGTGCAGCTGAGGCTGCAAACATTCGGAAGGGCTGTGTCTGATCAGCCTTAATCCTCTCTTCTTGATCTTCTCTCATTAATAAACCTTATCACGTGACTCTAATTGTGGGAATCAGCTTATATTTTCCCCACAGGACTCATTAACATTTGTATTGAGTTTGCATCCAAAATGCCCCAGTTGCACTAGCCACTGCATGAAATAAGAGCTATCTGTATATGTGAGAGGACAGAGCACAGAGAAATTACAGGGGGCATTTGCAGCATACAAGAAAATGACTCCTACGAGAACAGTTGCATGGCATATTCCTTTCATGACTTTCTTTTTAAACAACCAATGTTTTCTTTAAGATCTCCACTAGGGAGTAAGTGACATTGGAGTGCACAAAGAGGAGGAAGAAAAGCAGGGGAGCCAAAAGCATGACAGGTACTAAGACAGCTACTGGAATACCAAATCAATAGCAGAGTAGAACAGTTAGGAGGGGGTCCAGATGTCACAGGACAGAGGGTAAATATAACCAGCTTCTGAATTGTAGAGCCCCCAAATAGCAGAAGCTATCACATTTTGGGGCTTTCAAATAAGTGGGGCAGATGTTACTGGGTTTGACCTAATCCTAAGCTCTTTTTTTTTTTCTTCCAGAAGGGAGACTGAAAGCCCTGGAAAAGGCTGTTAGTGCTGTTAACTGCAAGTGAAGTGCCATTCTCAATGCAAGCTAATGCCATTCTTAGTGCAGAACAGAAAAAGCGAATTTGCAAATAGCTTTATACTGTCTTGAAGGCATCCAAGGAAATGATCTATCAAAAAAATTGCTGCATGTGTACTTCAGGAAAAAATGTTTCTATTAGACAAACATATTTATTGTTTTAAAAATCCAATCTTCTCTACAATGGACACCCAATCAACAGCAACATAACAGCAAAAGAAACCATTGTTAGGAAAGTACCTTCTCCTGAATACTACAATTGCATGAATAAATAGGTTACCTATTGAACTGTGCTTTGGATAAAAGCAAGTCCAGGCTACAAGTTCTGAAAGAACATATCTTAAAAGCTCTAATGAAGTGAAAGACATGGCGCTCAACCAAGCCAAAGCTTATGTCTCACTGTGGCCCACCTTCCAATGAATCATAGCATCACAGAATGGCTTAGGTTAGAAGGGACTTTAAAGTTCATTCAGTTCCAGCTCTCTGCTACAGGCAGGGACACCTTCCCCTAGACCAGGTTGCTCCAAGCCCTGTCCAACCTGGCCTTGAACACTGCCAGCGATGGGGCAGTCACAGCTTCTCTGGGCAATCTGTGCCAGTGTCTCACCACTTCTATTGAGAAGAACTTCTTCCTAATGCGTAATCTAAATCTCCCCTCTTTCAATTTAAAGCCATCCCCCCTTGTCCTATTCCTACATGTCCTTGTAAAAAGTTCCTCTCCAAATTTCTTGTAGCCCTTCTTTAGGTATTGGAAGGCTTCTATAAGGATATGCGCTATAAGGAATACAAGGATGCATGGCTGTGGGGATGTGGTTAGGCCTGGGTTCATTACTATGTGGGAATCTGTGCTATCAGCTAGAATTGAGTGAGTCAGACTTAAAATAATCACAGAAGCTATTCCAACCAGGAGTCCCACCCCAAAGGGGTAGATCTCTTTCCCCACAAAAGCAGTATCTCTTCTGGTAGGATGCTTCCCTGCTTCTTTATCACTCGGATACCTCCTTTCCTGTCCTTGGTATGCCACAGCTTGCTAGAAGCAAAGAGAACCTCCCTACTCGCCCACATTTGATCATCCCTAATTGCCTTCCCCAAACCATTAAACAAAATCCTTTCTTTGGTAACCTGGGGGTTTTGCTGTATCAGAATTGCTTCTCTCTTTCTGTTGTGCACTCAGAGACACAAAAAATGCCCTTACATCATTAAGATGAGAAACACATTGTTCCTGCGCCAGTGTTTTCCAAAGCAGCGGTTCCAAAGCCAGCATTTCCTGAAGCCAGTGCTTCCTGTGGGCTCCCTAGAAAAAAGGGGTTTATGGGGCAGATTTCTGCAAAGCCTGATGTTCCAGTCAGTCAGTTGTGTGCAGCTATTGCTACATAATACTGGCTTAGAAGCCTTCATTGTGCCATGCCCTTGCTGCAGCCTCTGTACCACCAGTTGCCTCTCTCAAACCAGCACTCTCGCCTCTCCTCCTTGCAAAGTAACACAGCTGTAACCAACCCCGAGAGTTTCAGAACTGCCACAAGTCTTCAGTGTTAGAACCAGCATCAGTCATGTCCCCTGAATATCCTAGCACTGTATTTCACCTCCAATATAAGGTGTTTAGTAGTGAATTAATTTATTCAATAAGCAGCAAAGTACATATACGTGTGCGTGCATGTGTGTGAAAGTGCTAGGGGAAATTGGGTCAAGGTGGAGAAAGAGCAAAAGAGAAGGGAGGAGGGAGGATGACTGCAATCATGACAAACCTGGGTCTGGTCCCTCACAGAATTCCTTGTGCACCCAGCTGCCATACTGCCTACTCTTCAGATCCCAGCTGTGAAGTGGGAAGCACACCTCAGCGAGGTGTTGCAAATACAAACACCCTGGAAGACTGCGTGAAGTGGTGCACCTAGAGCAGTATGCCATGTAAACAGCTCAGGTAGGAAGGAACAGTATCTGTTCATGTGGAATAGGATAAAGCATAAGTACCCAACAGGGTGAGGCAGCTGGGGTGGAGAAACAGACCAGACAGGAATGGGGAGATTCCTACCAGGAATGAGATTCCTGGTTCATACAGGACTCCTGTCTGTTATTGTTTCCTTCTTTCCTAATCTGTGTTTGAAGCAGGAGAGAGGTGAAATGGCATGTAATTCAGAACACAGTGCTAGACCCGGACATACCAAATCTGCCTGCGATAAGCCTCCTGAACTTTCTACGGCTTCACTTCCTCACCACTTCCTCAGCCATGGATGGTATTTGTCAGTGGTTCAGTGCTTCTTTCACACATCACATGGCAGGGTAAAGCCTCTTTTCCTTCAACCACATGGTGTTTGTAAGACCTTACAAATCTAGCAGATACATCTACTAACATTTTCTTCCATTTCTTTGCCACCCCTTTCAGGCCAATCTTTATTTCCTTTTTGCTCACCCTCAGCAATATTCTTCTTTACTTCTCTAGCCACAGCTTTCCTATTAAGGAGGGTATTCTAACTAATCCCCTCATGGGAGTCTACTGCTTTCAAAGCTGCTCACTTGCAGAAGGTTAGCAATAACTGAATGGCAAGGCTTATTGAAATTTGCCACTCAAAGTGAAAGCAGAGATTTCAGACATCATTGTGGCAAACAGCTAATATGGAAAATGATGACATATAAAAGGATGCCAGATTAGGTTTCTGGAAGTGAATCCCAAGAAAGGCCTTTCAATCATTGCACAAGGATTTTTGCTTTCCTCATCCTACTACACAAGCCAAAGATTGGGAAACACCGGTACCAAGGGAGACACCTAAAGCAGACAACCATTAAGCATGACACTGGGTGTGCCTTCATTAGAGTGCTAGGTGTGTGAGAGCCCCATTTCGAGAAAGATATAAGATAGCAGTTTGGTTCTAAAACAGTGGAGCCGTCACCACAGCCACTGTCTAAAGCTTTCAGCAGGGATGGTCAGGTCAGTGCTCAGGCTCCAGAAGCAACCTTCTCCTCTCCCCTCTCACCATCACACCCCATGGTAAAGCCAGCCTTTTGCTCGTCGCTACAAGACTTTCTACTAATGACCACATCGTGATCCAGAATTAGGACACTTCAAGGCAGGCTGTAGGTTCTCAGAACAGGCATCACAGACAGACAACCTGTAGATTTGGGTTCTTTTGGCAGAGGCAAACCTTTGGTTTTGTGGTTTATTCTTTAGGTTGCTACCTGCCAACCGTGCTACAAAACGTCCATGTAAATGAGGAGCACTGGTTTCAAAGAGAACACCTTGAGAAACTAGGAAGCAAACTGGCTCAGATTTTAAGCAGTACAAGACTGGAGAGAGCCAGCGTCAGTAAAGTGCAGGCATCAGTTAAACCAACCTTGCAGTAACGTAAACATCAAGAAAAGATAGCTTCCCCTGCATGTGGTTTTTTTTTGGTTGTACTTGTACAGCAATAAATCACACTTTATAAACTAATCCACACACACTTTAAATTGATAAAACAGCGTTCCATTAGTGGTTAATGCAACATAAAGTCAACTCCACCATTGGTTAAGCTTTAAGAAGGAAACTACTGCATTTCAGCGTGCAAGTGTTTGCTGTGTTCGATATGAACTAGAGACTAGTTAATCTGCAGGACCAGCAATAAGTTGCTGGAGCATTCATAACTCTCATTGCAGTTTAGGATGACAGAAAAAAAATCAGTGTCAGGTCCCAAGATTGTAAAACTGAACATATAAACCCAATCCATGCAACCTGTTCAATGGAGACCAAGACTGCCATGAAACTAGCTTAATAAGTAATGGTGCAACTACTTATTTGTTTTCAATATTGAGGCAATTAGGGTAAACAATTAAACCTTACCTTCATTCCTTTCGTAATTCCATTTTTCTTATAGATTCCACTTTTTAAGAAGTTATTCTGTTTCTGATGATGGTGATGTAGATGTCCATTGCAGACAGCATTGGGATTAGCCATCTGTTTAAATTAGTCAGATTCCCAGTTCTCTAAGGGTATCTCAGGTTTTTCTACTACAAAAAAGACAGTGGGACGAGCAGATAAAGTTCTTGGTTAAGGCCTGAAAGATATCCAACTGGTCTGTCAGGATTTTCCGGGATGAGAGGAAGATCTATCTTTTGCAATACCTTAGAAACCTAAAACTGTTTCTTTCATATACCTTCAGCCCCAGCAGGCTAGATCGCGAAATACATAGCAGGACGTGTGCTCTTAAAATCTCTGAGGAATACGTCTCATTGCTGGCTATTGTATGAACACAGCTTCTATGAGTCAACAAGGCTGCTGCAGCTATCAAGAAGTGGGTGGATTCAGAGGCGGAGACACTTAAAGATACATTACCTCTTAAACATCTCCCAGTGAGGAGCATTAGAGTTTCTCCTCCTGGTTACACTGAATGTAGAGCTATGTTACTCCGTTTAGAATAATAAAATGCTTGGAAAATTTAAATAGGGTAATCTTTAAAATTACAAGGTTCTTCTTGCTCAGAGTGTATTGGCTGAAAAAGTAGTATTTCACTGAGTGGAACAGAACAGCTTTTTTTTCTTTTCTGTTTGTTTTTTAATCTCTTCTTATATAAGTAGCATGATAGAAACAACATTAATCCTGCAAGGAAATGGAAAACGTTTCAGTATTTAAATGACATTTTACCTAGAGCTAGAAAAAATATATTTAGCTCGATCCTACAGATGTGTGCACAGGTGTTTACTGAAGTGAACTGTCTCTTTAAAATCAGTTTGGCCAGTAATAGGATAAATGGCATGCTATTATAACTAAGAGGAAATGGACTTTTATAAAGTTTATTCATCTAGTTTTAAAACAAGTTAGGTTTTAATCACATATGAAATTACTAACCAGGACTAACACACATCCTTGCTTCTAAGACACGAGGAAATACTCGCATATAGCGTCTTTGCTGAAGCAAATTCTCATGTTTCAGATTTTAGTGGCAAAACATGAAAGCGTAAGAGTGTCTGGCAGCATCTGATAGAATCTCTTCCTCCCCAAATGATTACAATTATTACTGAGAGAGATTAAAGGAAAGCGTATTATAATATCCATTTTGGAAAACAGTAAGGATGAAAGGCTGGGAGAATAAAAACACTTGGAGTGTTTTAACTAGAAAAAATTACCGTGTCAGCAATGAAATGTAAGTGATGTACAGAAAAAGCAGCCTACAGCCTGAGCATGTAGAACTTAAATATTTAGTGAGCCACTGTAAAGGGAAACACACTGCATTGGTTTTGAAAACTTGTCTTAGTCATGTATTGATTTCCTAGCATGTATTTTCTCCTTTGAAGTGGTTTGCAAAGTGGTGTATCTTCAATGGAAAATTAGGAAATCTTTTGGTCCCTACCTAACATAGACCTGAAATGTGTTTAAAAGAAGTATCTCTGCATCTTCCCCTCTACATTTCACCTCATTTCAGAGGTGGCCTGCTGAAACTTCCATCAAGACCTGCAGAAAACCTCCATGATACACTATGGAGTACACCAACTGAAAAAGCAGTCCATTTATAACCAGGTTTGATTTTTATATCCTTTGAAAGAAGCCTTCTACTACATATTTCATTTAATAAGACAGTAGTAGTTTTGGTCAAGAAAATAGCCCCTTAACTGACCAGAATGACACAGAAAGAGTAAAATATCAAAATGCTTTGCTTCACAATTATACCAGATTCACCATCAGAACTCAGATTTCCTAGGTTTGCCTTTTTGGTGTTTTTTCCTAGGCCAGACTGCCTCATTTCTTTGTGAAACAGTCTTTTTTTAGGCTTCATTAAGGCATCTGCAAGGATAACTCAATTACAGATTAATCATGAATATGTAGTGATAAGATAAATTGGTCATGATAAGGGGCTAGGAGTTCATATCTACAAGGAGAAGACAGAGATTAGGACAAGCCAGAAGAAGGCTGAAAGAATGGTTAGTAATACTTTCCTACATCTCTCTCACCCATGGTACCACGACAGATGCAGCACAATGATATAGAGCATACTCTGCTCCTGGCAACACCCTCCCACCAAAATCTGTCTTCATTTGGGAATTGCTTCCTTGACTGTCACAGCAAAACTAAACCCTGTAAAACACATCATCTGTTCAGACAGTGACTGATCATCTTGATCCTGCTGTGATAAAGACAAGAAAACTTACCAGAGTAGACTTCTTTCCCTTAACAGTCTCAGCACCTCTGCCATATATGCTTCCCAACAGACTCAGCACCTTTCAGGGCACAAAGTGATATAATTAACATCTCAGGTGTGTCTTATTCTTTTTCTTTTTCCAATTAGGTTTATGGGGAAGTAGAATCTGATTAAATAACAGTTCAGGTGATGCAAATTCTGTCTCTAATCCAGGCTGTAAGTCTACACCTTTTATCTATTTCAAGGCCTATGAAATATCAGTGCCCTTATATGAATAAAAAAGGGAATTAAATATGCTATATTAATTTTAGCTTTCAATGTCTGTAATGTTTAAGATCACAAACACCACAAAAAAATAGACTACTTTTAAATAAGAATTTAAATGAGCAATTTTAAAACCCTCAGAAAACAGCTATCCTTTAGGGTCTCTTTTAACCACACTGTAAAAGTCAGAGCTCACAAAACAAATACCACTGAGGGCTGAGTAAAATTCCTGCCTTGATTCCATTCACAGCAAAAGATTTACAGAAGGGATGAGTCTGGACAAATACACACAGATGATCTGTAAACAGGATGTGGTATTTCTCCTGCAGAAAAAGAAGTATATTGAATTGTGCCCTTTAGAACTCCATCTTATTCAAAACCATCTGTTACTCAGGCTTCTATAACCGTATTTATCATGCTACTGATTAGCTGTGTCTAAATCTAGTTGAAATATGAAAGTCTATGCATTCTGGACACTGGGGAAAGGACTCAGTAATGTACTTTGCAACACCAAAATGACCAGCAGTGGTACCCTGTCTCTTTTTACCATTCTGGGAGGCAAGAGATAAAAAAACCTTACTATGCTGACTATACAAGAACTGTGTGCATTTAACTGCAGGGGACCCCAATCCTGCTAAGATTGTATGTGCTCCTCACTTTGGTGGCTTGGGTTCTGGTCAGAAGTTACCCTTCATACATTGGCAAGAAGATGATGAATTTCTAAGGTCATTAGCAGACCACACACCATGCTCTATGCAGATGCCAGTAAAGCTTGTAAGCCATGGCTAGGACTACTATAAATCTGTAGGAAAACCATCAGTGAATTCCCCAGATCTAAGTTTTATCCTTTGCTTTGTCGTTATCATGTCAACGCCATTGGGTCTTTGCTGACTCACCTCTTGAAATCCGGATAAAAGTGTTTAAATCCTTTGTAAACGCACTGGGACTAATTGATAAGGAGTGTGGTGGAAAGTAAAATATATACAGTTAATTAGCAGAGGTTTAACAACAGAGCAGGGAGAGAAGGGAGGGGTAGGGCTCTGTCTGAGCAGTCTCTCAGTACTTGAAGAAAACCACTTTTCTGCTATGCATTACCACTGTTACACAGGGTAGGTTAAAAGGTCGACCTTGGCTGATGAATTCAAGAAATAGGGACAAAACCATCTAACCTTCCATTAGACTTCCAGCCCAGTCAGACCATGTAGAGTCATTAGGGTGGCCACAGGGTCCCCATGCATGATAGCACCACTAGATTACCTACTGATAAAAAGAGTACATGTTGCAAGAAAGCGTGAGAGCTGATCCCCAGAAACTGTAATGTCATAAGCCAGAATGATTTCCACACGGCCCGTGCTCATCCCAGAGAACAGTTCCAGCATAGTTGTGAAATGGTCTTACAGTGAGGTTGCAAGACCTTGATGATTTCCCTTCATGACAGGTGTAAATTTACGTGCCACATGAAACAATAAGGAGCTACACAAAGGCAACTACCGTTTTTACGCTTATTTTCATTGGACAGACACCAGTGTCAAACCAGAGCTCAAAAAACTGGGTGCCTAACTCAGTTCCTTTGTTAAAAGTCATGGTTCTAATAACATTTAGTTTAGCTGCAGAGCATGCCCCCAGTTAAAAAGCACTCCTGCTCTCCCAATTGTTTATCTTACAACAGTAGTCTGCCTTATAAATTCTGTGTACCATTTTTGGCTTATTCTCTGTTTAGGACCCCAGTACATTGGGTACCTGTGGACCCATGAATATTGGAGACAATTCCTGCACTGGATATGTAAATGACTTACAATATAGCAACACCAGTGAGGCTGAAATAAATGAACAAGTAGGGAGACGCAACAATAAACTGACATAAGCAACAGCAAGCATCAGGTATCAGCTGGTCAGTCATCTCCCTGGGTGTCTTTCCAGAGTCACCCAGGCTTCATCAACACTGGCTATAGGCTCAACTTCTTAAATGTTCAAATGGAAGAACCTCAATCCACCTATGCTTCTTTAAACCCTATCTGAGTAGGGATATCTCCCTATTACCTGGGCATGAAACTGCACACCAGTGCTGATGGATCCCCTCAAGTGCCCTTGCACAATTACCCTTTGGTGGATAGAAAAAAGCTTTGAAATTGGTTAGGAAATAATAGTAGAGCATCTCAGAACCAAGACCCAACGGCATAGGTGGATGCATGCAACTAGCATTGCATCAGAGACATTGCAACATGGTACAACGATCAGGGCTCCTCCAGCTCTGGCAGGTCCATGCATCATCTGCAGAACCCTGGGGCTGGCACAGATCCCCTATTTCACCTCTGCAGACTGGGTGCTGGAGAGAAGAGCACAAACAGGCTTCTCAGTGATGAGGTAGAGGGGGCTATATATATTGTTTGACTTACATCAGATATTAGTGTCTGGGAAGTTCAACCACAGGGGAACCTACAGTTTTGCTGGGTTGTGTGAAATCTGGAAGAGAGGTTGTGAGATCTCCAGAACAGGAAGGTCCTGCCAACAAGGAAGTCTTGCACCACTTAAGAGATAAAGTTCATTGAATTTACTGCAGAAAAAGCTTACATTTTTGCAAGAGAAAGCACAGCCAGAAGTGTGGGCACAGGTAGAAGAAGCTACGTACAGGCCTAGGAACCAGGGCAGCAGGCAAGGACTTGGTGGGTGCAGTCTGACATCCTTACAGCCTGTTGTTGGACCCATCTATTGAAGAGACAGATTAGACTTATTCAGTCACTTCATTACTTGTTATAAAAACCTGAGTGAAGCAAGAATGCCAGTGTAGCACTTTTGTCCTGTCAGCACGAACAAATGACTGTGTGCCAGGAAGCAACCTCTTTTTTGTATTTACTTTTTCTCCACAAGCCTCTATCGAGTCTTGATGAGTTTTCCTCAACATTGCTCCTGTTCTAAGGGACAAAGAGGTTGCCATTCTGCTGACAGATGTCCTTCCTTCAAATCTCAGACTGCAACTAAATCTTAAAAGGGGTGAAAGCCTCTTCAAAGACTAACGGATGAAGAAGTGTTGCTTCATAAGTCAAAATGTGACTCCAGCCTTCTGAGCTTCATTGATTTTCCCTAGAAAATTCACTCTGGTTTGTGAACTATCAGGGTGCAAGGACTTCTTAGGGATC